GAAGAAAAGAAGAGTGAGAAGAGCCATCAAAGAAGGTCAATTTTTGCATAGACCACTTTTTGATGGTTTGAGAAAATGAGAGATTTGATGCTTTTGTGCATTTCTTTTTTACTGTTTTAGCTGTTGATAAAGATTTTTTTTAATCTCATCTTTATATCTTCTGGTGTGAGCCGTTGTTCCATTGTTTGGCCGGTTTATTTCCAGCTTGAAGAACCAAACTCGTCTATTTTAATTTAAACCGGGTGAGATAGAGAAGGGAATCCTTTTGACCCTTCAAGGATTGGTATGATTTTGAGTGGAAGGATCATATACAACAAAAAAAAAAAAAAAACTGATTATCTTTTCTTATTACTTGCAGAGTATCCTCATGTGCTTATTTTTTTTCCAATTTTTATGATCAAATCAAATCATAAATGTTCCAACTTTGTTTACAAATTCAAATCTTGATTGGATAATTTATAAGGTAGCCAATGTTTCAGTCCCTAAAATGCAAATCTAAGAGATACCAACTATTAGATGTGATGATTTTTTTTTTGACTTGATACATGATTCCTTTCTCTTTACTTTATGTCTCTAAATAACTTTGCAACATAGTAACTATATGCATTTCTGTGCCTGCACTTTTCACTCAGTTACTAGTGTCTTGTCTTAACCTCAATTAACATCTTCCTTATAATCAGCTTCACTCTTTGTTTTCACTCTAAAGCCACTTTATAACACCATTGATTCATTGAGCATTATGATTAGCTCTCTTTTGTTGAGTTCACTCTCAAGTATCTCTTTCGAATTCCGTTAATATGTTCTAATTCCTGGTAGAAAATTAGAGAATTAGCAATCTCAAGAACAAAGTAAATGATTTATTTCAGTTTTTGAAAAGTTGTTGTAGCTAAACCCTTGGAAATATTCACGACAGATAGTTATTATTATTGTTGGCATTTCGTTGCCCATCCTCAAATATGCATTTTATATTAAATCAGTAATCAGCAGTGATATGCAAAGTTTTTTTCTTCTTTTTTAAGAACTTTTAAGACCTACTAAACTATTTAATTGCCCATGAAGTCACATGTGACACAATAATTAATCAGTATAATGCAAACAGTGTAAGCAATAAGTAACAGTTGCAACCGACTTACCTACTTACCTACTTCCTTTATTCAATGATCCGTGAAAATTAGTAGGCAGATCTACTTAATCAATTTTTTCAAGAATTATTTATCTTTTCACTTCGTTTTATATGCGAACACGCGAAAAAAAAAAAAAAAAAAATTGAAGTTGTTACAATTTTACCAATTCATCATTTGTAATATATTACATGAAAATTGAAACTCATTTACCTCATAAGCAAACTCAACATGAAAACAAGCAACACATAAGAAATTTCAGCAAAGAACTCATTAGAGACATTGAAGATATCTTTGAACTCGATCTAATTAGTAGAATTTACTTTCAAGAGAAAAGAGATACTAGAAGGAATGAGAACTTAGAAGTAATATATATAATAACTTAGCAATCAGTATGAATCACCACATTCACACTGTGGTTTTAAGTCTCATAAGCTTTTCAATGTTTTGTTTCTCTTCGTCCCTCAATTGTGAGGCATACCTGGCAACACAAAATCAAACAATTATAAGTTCTTTTCATAAGTTCCTTACAACAAAGAACATTGAGTCGAATCGACAAAACACAGCTTGTTTACCTGCAGATCCATTATCTGGTCGAATTTCAGCTAATGGGTTGACTATAAATCCAGGAGAGCCATTAAACCGATGCCTCGAGTTTTGTATCCCTGTGGCTTCTGCATTTCTGTTCCTATAAGTGGACAGCCTCGATGCTGAATACTTCGAATCGTGTTTCTTCCAGAATTTAGATTTGATGAAACTTCCAGAAGGAAGGAGACAACAGTTGTTTCTGCTTGAACCGTTACTCATTCTCCCATTTGAAACCGCCAAGTCATAAGATATCTCATCCAGTGCAAGTTCTAAGCCGTGAACTCGTGTTTCCAGACCACGCATTCCGTGTTGTGAGCTTCCGACAAATCTCTAATAAAAATCACACAGAATAAGTTTCAGGGCCTACGGAAATGAGAGCAATCTGGATGCTTGTAACGTAAGAAAGATCATCATCATGTTTAGAACAAACCTGAAGAAGATCCATTAGATTGGCTTGCTGTTGTTCAATCTGAACAAGCTGATTACGGATCAGAGATATATCTTCAAGCCCTTTGCAGTTACTACTATTTGGGTTTTCAGACAAGACATGATGCCCTGTTACCATTGTAGCACCGGATGGTGGGACATTGCCATTAAGAGAACTGGAAACACCTCCTAACTTCTGCATCGTATTGTGACTAGAATGACTCGTTTCCTTTGCATTCTCGTTATGATCACGAAGTTGTTCGTCTTCAAGAGGCACACCAGTGGCAATACTAGCTCCTCCAGCTTTCCAGTCCAATCTTCTCCTCACGTTTGGTTTTGTATGTGGTGCCGTTAGACTGGTTTTCTTCTGATCAATGCTTTTTCTGCCAGCCTGTTTCCTAGCCGTGGTGGCGAGTGAACTCCTGGGTGGAGTCGATCTGTTAACTAGATGAGTTCTTGATTTAGCAGGTGTTGAAGCAACTCTAGAGCCTGAAGGGTATCGTCCATCACTTGCATCACCTAGAATCAAGAAAACAGGACAAATAAGCAACCAAAGATCTTAGCTACAAATCCATACAAAGCTAAAGAAACACAGTGAACCAAGATAGTATTTTAGCACCAAACAAGAAAAAGTTTCCTGATTTGGCTAAAGATCAAATGGTAAACGAGGATACCTTTAGAAGAAGCATTAGATCTGGGTGGAGAAACCTCTTCTGATAAATCTGGAACCTGTTTCCATGCCTCCATCATCTGATTCATCACCTCTCTCACAGCTTTCACCTAAACCATATCAAAATTCAAATCTATGATCATCTTTAAGCCAAACCTTAGATTCAAATGAAAAATTCAAGATCAAGGAAACCAAACCTTATCATATTTCCTGCTCTCAAAGATCTTCAAGCATTTAGCTTTGAACTCACCTAACTCATTTCTCTCCATTGTAGCTAACCTCCCCAAAGCTTCAGCAGCTGCTTTCCTCGCGGCCCAATCTTCACTAACCAAGAAGCTCAATAAGCATTCCACAAGTCCTTTCAATCCACCGGAGCTCACTGTGGTTCCAGACAAACCACCAGCACCAATCAAACTTCCGATCACAACAACTCCCGCCGATTTCGCCTTAAACGCATTACACTTCACCAGCTTCTCAAGTCTAGGCAAAAGTGTCTGCCCTAACCGAACCGGATCCGGATCAGACGCCGAATCAATCGCCGCCGCGAGACAAAGCGCAGCTCCGATCTGCGCATTAACCTCTTGCTCGGTGAAAAGCGTATCCGCTAACGGCTTCATAAACGCCGAATAAAACGAAGGCTTCGTCGTACGTGAAGAGATCGCCGACACAGCCGCGACGCAAGTTGATCGAATTGAAGAGTCGGGATCACGGAGACGTCTCGTGATGCGAGTGAGGATCTTAGAGAGGAAAGGAGACAGAGAATTGAGAGGAAGAGAAACTGATAAAACAGAGAGCAAGTGAATACAATGCTTACGAACCGCCGGTTTATCTCCGGTGTCGGCGGAGAGTATAACGGAAATAAACGACTGGAGATTCCCGGAGGAGGAAGGATCAATCTGTCTAGCCATTAAATCAAGCTCTCGAGCCGCCATTGTGAAAGTATCTCGATCTCCGAGCTTAGTTAACAACACGGACATGTTTTGCTTCGTGTTCTTCGTCGCCATTTTCTAATTGCTGAATGATTCTTCTCCGGTGACGGTTGATGGATCAGTGTTGCAGCGGAGACGGTGGTGGATCTGGCGGAATAAGAGGTGGCAGTGGCATTAGTGTAAATTAAAAAAAACTTGACGGTGGTCGGTCGGTTATTTATAGACGGTGACCATAATAGTGAGTTTTAGAGAGCTTTTATCGTCTGTGGTGTGTCTCTGTGATTTTTATAACCGTCTTTATGAGATATTTGCAAAATAGAGATGATGACCTAAAACGATGCCGTTTCTTCAGGTGTCGCTAAAATAATCACGCCAGGGAACATGTCATGATGTTGGTATTTTCAACAATTTTTTTTGTATTTCCAAAGTAGTACTATTAAAGATTTCAAAGAAAAAATTGATTACGTATTTCTTTTTTACATTTTACCAAGAAAATTATCGACATTGTATCATAACTTCACGAGTCATACCCAATATACTAATGTTGACTGATGGATTAATGCTTTTTTAGGATGCGTAGTGTTTAGCTTTGTTAAGTAAGCGTGTGGCTTAGTCATAATAGATATGAGAGTTTCTTTTACGAAATTGCAAACCTATCAATATCATAAACTATGAGTACAAATGTAGATAATATAGAACATATGAATTGTAGCTTTCAAACATGAATGTGTGCAAATCAAGCAAAAGTAACTTGATTTGTTGGGCTTCTTTGTTATACGTTCTCCAAGGTGGTTCAACTAATATTCTGACATTTTATATTATATCTTTGGTGAACCAATATTATCAAATTGGAGCATGAAAGCTCTTTGTACTTGTTTTTTATTAGTAACCTTTTAGTTTAATTTGCATGATTTGTGAAAAACGTGTGGTCAATGGTGGATATGATCTTGTTGAGAGTCGCATTAGCTTGAAAATTAAGGGTGTCAAGTCAAACTATAGATTACGGTTTGAGATCCCGTCTAAACTGGTTTGAACCGAATTGGGCCTAGAGAAAGGCCCAAGAAAGATAGAGGTAGGCTGCACCGAACCGGCCTACACTCCCTCTGCAACTCCTTTCGAAATAATTTCATGTAACCATTAAGATTAAGTGTGATTAATCATTCACTATTTCACATAAATGCAGTTACCTAATCCATGAATTAGATACTAATCGTTAAATGGAGAGCGTATATGTATGTAACTATGATTATAAAGCAAAGTGAAAAATAAATGAAAGCTAAGGAATATTTAAAAAGAAGAAAAAGCAGAGATTCCACAAAACGGCAGAAAAAAACAGAAAAAACCATTGTTTGGTTTCCCTGGACAATATGTCTTTTTCTTTTTGTCTACTTTATTAGATGCCATTTTCATTGAGTAAACAAACATTATTGTGAGATTATTAGAAAGAGACAATGTATAAAGGAAAATAGAAAAAGGCACACAAAGATAAGAAGACTCAGGAGCTTTTTCCCGCAGCCAGAGCTTCTTTTCCAATCACAGCTTTGACATAGATTTCATAGCAACATCCTAAAACGAAAAAAACAAGCAAGACACGAGATAATCACAATCCAGATTTCGAGTATGTTGTGATTTCAACTTTCTTATGATCATACAATGAAGTGACATTTCAAGAGCAAATTTGACAGAGGATGATTGAAAAGTTTCTGAACATTATGCTTCTACATGAGATTCAATCTACAGCCTTCTTAAATGCTATAAAAGCAAGGTGAATATCTAAGTGTGCCTAGTGAATCTCTTACTCAGATTCATTATGATTCCCGAACCATACTAGATTATGTTTCTAGATCAGTACCAAAACAAGAATCTGATTACCTGCAACAACAACGACTGTGAGCACATCACCAATCCTCTTCAGTTTGTGCACACTTTTCTTATGAGACTTGAATCTCTTCAAAGCAGAATCTTCAGCCAAGAGCTACACAGGAATCCGATTTAGCAACACACAAACTCATCAATTATATAAGAAAATGTCATGAAACAACATAAACATCAACAACAACTCAAAACGCTTGAGAAAATATTCTTCTCTCAAATGAATTCAGACTAACAAACATCACTAGGGCTCACATGAGAGTCTCAGGGAATCTACTCAAAAACTAGGAACCCTAATTTCGTTTCCTCTAGGTTCTATATAAAATCATCCTGAACAATTAGAGTCTGCAATTCATGCTTGAGCCAGAAAATTCCACAAAAAAATTGAGTCCAAAATGATCCAGTACTCGATCTAATACAGTCAAACTCACGATTCTGATAAACACAATAGATTCTGATAAACACAATTTCAAATCTCCGATTACTTAAATCCAGAATACAAACGATCGATTCGACGTTCATGAAACACCAAATGATCAGCTAGCTCTCAAGATGAGAGAAACCTAGCCATAGAAAGTTCTAGAGAAATCCAGAGATTACAAATTATTCGATAAGATGAAGAAATGAGCAACATTCTGCTTTATCATAAACGCTAACGGCCTTCTCTCGTCAACCAATCGTCCCCTGCCACGCGTCTCTCTGATATTCCTTCTTTTATTCTTCTTGACTTCGCACGTGTCTCCCGCACGTGTAACACCAAAACGCTATAACACGATCAAATCATAAACCTAAGCTAATTTCAGATTCTAAATGTTCATAAAGAGCCTCCAACTCACAGCTTTCTCTCGAGTTCCTGGCTCTATGTGGAATCCACGACGCGATATTGATAAAGCATCACCCGTTTTCTGCAACAATTTCATAAGGGAAAAAATTGTCACAAAATAAACTAAAACTCCAACAATAATTGATTAACAAGATTCGATACAAACCTGTGAAGAAGACGAACGGAATTGAGATGAAATTGAAGCGTTGTTTAGCAAAAACGCCATGCCCAGCCGAGTATCGAAGATCGATCAAAGGGGGAACCAGCAAAATCTTCTCTTTTGGAAGAATTTTTCGAGTTTTCCAACATGAGCTTTATACTTTAGAATTATTCCATTTTGACCCCAAAACTATTTTATTCGAAATTAACACCATATCAAAATCTTCATACTCAGTCTAGTGTACTTTGAATCTCAAACACAAAATTCTAGAAGATAATGTAATCTAATCTGAATTCAATTTATTCATACCAAGAAAAACATACTTCTGCAAATCTGCAATTTGGTACTGATCACAGAGATTATAAAGACCCTGTTTTTTTAAGCTTTCAACAAAAATGAAGCTGTCCTAAACATATATTCACATCTTTAACACAAAGATGGAGACAACAAGAAGAAGAAGAAATTAAACACTTTTGAACGCCTCTGGATTCTCAGAAACCCAAGATTCACAAGCTTTCACCGAGTATATATATACACGAATCTGTCCAGGGCGAGTCGTTTTTTTTTTCCTGTTGTGTACTAACTCATTTCATATTTTTCCTAACTGTGACATACTTGAAAACAGATAGCCATTTCGAGACACTGAAGAGCTTTGTCCATCTTTTGCTGTGAGCCTTACCGACCAAAGCATTCTTCTGTGACACGAAATCGTCAAGCGCACTCTGCAACTCAGATTGCGGTTCTTCTAAGCCTAGAATCTGAGAGCAATTCCACAGATTGTCGTAGTCTTCATATAAACCATGTGGAGTAACAACATCATCACTGTACTGGCCACTACATTCTGCTGTGTTGTGAAGATTTGACACAAAACCGTAGCCGTCCAAACTGGTCAAACTCAGACCTGAATAATCAATCCCGACACTGCTTTGGAAAGCCGGGACATTGAGAACGTTCCTCATCATGGAAACCTCATCATCATACGAGATTACTTCATTTAGGTGACTCAATGCATCAATTACCATCACCTCGGCTTGAGCCTGAAATCAGAAAATTTATGTACACCTGAGAGTATTTAGAAGAGAAACCAAGTCAAATATGTAGAGAGAGAGGATCAGTGCCTTTTCAATTTCAGATAACTTTTCAGCATGAATATACTGAAAATCCACGAACAGTCCAAGTACTTGAGCTACAACATTGAAGACAACAGCGGTTTTCTTCTGAAATCCAGGAGCTTGGTAAACATGGACGCTACTATCCAGAACACATGATCGAGCATGGTCCAACGTAATTTCCCACATCTTTGAAGACATACCCGTACCAAGAACCTGCAAGGAACATCAATTATCATTAGATATAGACAACCTTAAAAGTTAAATCTGTGTTTTTCTCACCAGGTGAAAATCAATCATTAACCATTATTACTGGTCAAACAAAAAATTCACGTCCATAAAAATAACCACAGAAGCCTTAGCTACAGAGCCACAGAGTAAGGAAGATGAATCTTACTTGTCGGAGTTTTGAAGAGTTTAAATGGAAATGTGTTAGGAAATCCTTGACAGTGTTTATATGTGAACAATTCAGTCGTTTGTGAAATGCTCCATCTTTCCCTATCTTTTCCAATCTCCATACTTCATCGAAAAGAGAAGGAGGATGATGCTTTTTGTACACTACAAATGAGAGCGAAAGAGTCGGAAGAAAGAAACCAGAGTTAAGAATTTTGGATGTGAATAAGAAAACTAATTTTTGTATCCAAATCATAAGAAGATACTCCAAAATTGGTTCAATGATATACAATGTGAGAAAATAAACTACCAAGCAATACTTACACTCTCCTCGATGATCTCTAACGACAAAGGACTCTGTTATTGCCTCTCTAATTTTGACAAAATCAAATTGATCCACCATCCGAACTCCGAGTCTAAACTTCCTGCTCCTAGTCCAGCTAGAGTTATCTGTAAATGAAATTTCATCCACAACACCGATGCCATCATTAAGAACCACAAATACATTCCCATTGAGTAGAGGTTTCTTTCCTTCTCTCTCTCTTACAATGTTATTCCTGATATCCTCAGCTGTCCAATCACTATCACTGTCGAAATCACCCTCAACAACAAAAATTTCGAGCTTCGCAGATGATGCATGACTAGAAGAGACAATTTGGCCAGTTGAAAGGTCGATTAATCCAACTCTTATAGCTTGGCCTTCATCTCCTTCTATTCGAGCTGAAGTAAACAAGGGAAGCGATAGATTGTTCAAGAACTTTAACTGTAGATTCCTTGATTCCAAAGGATGAGTCTCTTTCTCACAAATCCTGAACAAGGTGAACATGGGAAGAAAGTGTGATATTTATAAGAGAACAGCCTAAAATCTAGTACTTGTTTTGAAAAGCAGTTTACCACTTGATGCCTGCTAGATGCTTTCCAAGAGCCAATTCAACTTCTTCTTTGACCTGTTCCAAGGGATATTCATAAGTTAATTGCTAAAATAAACACTCAATCCTAGGAAAATGAACTATATTCTATTAAAAGGGTACATACCACTTTACGAATCAAGGGCTCGAGAACGGGTTCGAGAAAATGTTTGACAGTTTGCAATCTCATTACCTCCTGAACCACACTAAATTTGGATCCAAAGTCATATGAGGGTTCTCATTAACACTAAAAATCAATTCAGAAAATCTAAGCTTTATAGACATTGTTGCTTTGTCAACACCAAGTGATTGGAAAAAACAAAGCTTCTTATCAGGGAACCCAACCATGGTTACTACGAGATGTCTATGAGTACTCTTGTGTTTCAATCCAACTTTAACTTCCCAAAAAGTATATTACTCTTTGATTATAAACAAAACTAAACCTTTTCATTAATTCCACGACAAGAACACAGACTGTGTTACACAGTGATCAACTAAAGACCTCCACAAGCTGTAGAAATTCGTCTCATATCCTAATCATAGAAGCTCAATTTTATCTTAAAGAAATCATCACTTCACTACTTATTCTCTTGTTCCAACATAAAGATCACAACTTTTAGACTCTAATTGGTGAATAAACCCAATTGATTGAATCGAAGACTGATGCTTATTGATTCCACCTACAACATCATAAACCCTAGCTAGAAGCTGAAACAAAATTATACCTTTTAAATCTTCTACGCTTATCCTCGGATGCGCCGCCTTTGGCTTCTTCGAATTCCCTCTTCTGTGACATCTTTGGATACCCACAAGAGCCGTTGAAATCCCCAGAGAATTTCAACCATTTACAGAATTCTTTTTATGCGTTTTGTGTTGTTTGTGTACAACATGAACCGAAATTTCCGGGAAAGAGAAATATATATATACAAAAAAAAAAGAGTAACGGAATTATCGTAAAATGAATCTGATCTTCAAAACAAACAAAGACCCGTATGTTGGAGTTATCTATAGCTAACGTTCCCCACCAGTTGTTTCAGAAGCTCGTTGAACAAAAAGAGAAGGGATATATTGTGCAAATTCTTTGGGTGAAGGTAAGCGGATAGAGACAGAACACGGAGAAGAATGGTGTTTCATTCTCAGTGTTGGGTGTTTGTAGGACCCACTGAAACCGCGTCAGTGACGAGGAACCCCTAATTTATTTGTTGTGTGCTTCTTCTAACTTTAAACAAAGAAAAGTTTTGACCATTATATCTTATCTTATCTTAAGTAGACAGACATCCATCAAATTTCAAAAGTTTAGAACTTACTTAGCTTAGGAAAAAAAAAAAAAAAGAACTTACTTAGCTTCCAATTAGTGAGAAACATTGCTTGGTCTGAGTATTATGGGTATAGGGTCGGATAATAGCAGATAAGGGACATAATGATCAAATAGTTTCATCTAACTATTGAGAATTTTGATTTCTGTTCATTCGAATTTTGGATAAAAACAAGGAGACTTTTTAATTTCTTAGTTCTTACGTATTATAATTAGGGCTGCTGGATCAAATCATCAAGCATGCGGAAACAGCAATCATCCATAATTCATCCTTGTTCTTATTGTCACATGGATATGAATCAAGTAGCTTTGTCACAAAAGAACCCTGTGGATAACATTAACTTTCTACCCCAGCCATACGGTCTTGTCCTATGATATTGTTCTTTCCAAATGGGTCGACAAACAAGAAAAAAAAACATTTTGATGTTTGATGCGATAATTATTCTATGCCAACTAGCAGCAGATAGTATGATATGTTTTTCAGTTTTTTGACGAATAGTATTTGTTTTTAAACACATAGAACTTTGTTTTCATCAACTGATAAATCATGTTGAAAGCGTCTACAAAATGATATGATTCGTTTTTGTTTTCTCCAAGAGATTCAATAATTTTGTGACATATACACTACCGCTTCTTCTACACCAATTATACACATCTTAAACAAAGATGCTGACATCCCCGTTCGCAATACCAACACAAATCATACACATAAACGCGTGATTTGATAGAATGAGTAAAAGAAAATGACTTTGTCTTAAGTTCTTTTATATTTAAAGCATGCACTATGCAGTCTAACACTAATCTCTCTCCACTAAATATATTTAAAAATAGTTTAGTTCACAAATACCTAAAGCACATTATCCAAAAACGAACTTCAATATTTAAAGCACTGAATCAGTATACAGTGTTGCACTTGGGAAGTATCCCTGATCGTTGATCTACCACCTACTATGTTTTAAACTATATATAACCAATCATCGCTTAAGCAGTTATTTTCTTCAACCGGTTTCATATTGAAATTTTGCTATCCATTGATTGAAACCCATAATCACATGAACATTATAAAGATCAAAGAATTCTAGATATTTTATATTCCCAAAATCATCAAGAATTTATAGCCCATGAGACCAATTCTTGGGCTGGGCAAGAATATTAACAAAGTGCTCAGTTGTGTGAGATAGAGGATCAATTCAAATCCGACCTTTTATATTCAGGAAACATACAAAATCAACTAGTAGAATTGTTTTCTTTTTTTTTAGTATTTTGCCTACCTGTTGCCTGTATTTAATTTGGCAATAAAACAGGATTGATTACGTAAAATTTTGTTAGTGGATCTGATAGTATGAGTATCACACGGAATGTTTTTTTGTAGAACAATTCAGAGAGTGTGCTGTCCTCTGACATCTTCACACGAACTGTCTCACTTAGACCAAAAGCTTAAACTTCTAATTTCTCTCCATCACACGCTCATTTTGTTGTCTCTTAAAGTTTGATTGTGTCCTCTCTCTCATCCACTGATCCACACATTTCTCTAATTTGCAAATTAGTTAACGAGGACTAAGTCAATTCAATTAGTAAATCACATAAAACAGGAAAAATGCATCTCTTTACAAACGATGGTCATTTCGCTTTACTCATTTAAGTGAAAAAAGGAAGAAGAAGGGAGAGAGAATATATTAGAAAACTGCGAAGAATATTAGACATGTCTTTACAAACAAATGGACATTTCATTTTTGTCATTTGATTGAAAAAGAAAAAAAAACAATAATCACATATTACAATTCACACAAAATTAATAATTTACACCCATTTATATCAAACAGAAAAAGGTAAAATAGGAAAACATTTTGCCAGAAAAGTTAAGATCATTCAGATACCAAAAAAAATAAACAACTAAAAAAAAAAAGCTAGAACTGGGAGGAATAAGCAAAACCTCCATTTTGCCCTCCTTGAAACTGAGTCCGGCTTAGCCCAGTCGCTTCAAGCATACGGTTCCACTCACGCGCCTCCGCATTTTCCCCATACTCACTCTCTCCTCCGCCACCTCCTCTCATCGCCTGCAGAATCTTCGACGCCTTCTCCTTCACCCGTTCATTCCCATTCTTTTCCACTTCCATCAACACTTCCTCCGCTCCCGCCTCGCTCGCCAACCCCCTAAACCTCAAATTCCCTTGACACAACGTCAACAGAACCGCCACACAGTTCTCACGCGCCGCCTCGGAATCACCACCTCCGACTTCTCTGAGCTTCCCTACCAGAATCGCCACCGCATTTCCGTCTAGCATCGCGCCTTTTCCGTCTGGACAAGCCGCGAGGTTACATAGTACTAGCAAAATTCGGCTAGTCGAATCGCCGGATCTTACCATCGAAAGCAGAGTCGGCACCGCACCAGCTCTAACCAGCCTAGTTCGGTTGCTCGGGATCAGCGACAAATGATAAAGCGCAAGAGCTGCGTCTTGACGCGCTCTTTCACTCTCCGACGAACGAAGCGCATGAAGAAGCGGCTCAACCGCACCGAGAACTCCGATCACCATTTTGTTCTCATCTTCCAACGCCAAACTAAACAAAGCTCCGGCGACATGTTCCTGCGCCTCCGTCGTTCCCGATTTCAAAACGTCGATCAACAGAGGAACAAATCCTGACCGTACGATCTTAACTTTGTTCTGTTTCTCCAGCGAGAGATTAACCAACGACGCGGCGGCGTTAGTCTGCACAATATTGTACCGTGAAACAAGCAGCGTTCGGAGAAACGAGAGAATCCGATCTGTACAAAGCGAAACCCTAAGATCCTCACCAGATCTCGTCATCTTCCTAAGAAGAATCAAACCTTGCTCATGGTCGAAAATGTCGGTACCTCTCAATTTATTGAAGATCTCTTCTTCTTCCGGTGACATCGGAGAGGAAGAGTGATCGGAGGAAGAAAAAGAGATAGCGTTTCGAAATGGACTATCAGCTCCAGCGAAAACTCCAGAGGAAGAAGAAGTGGTTGAAGAAGAGAACATACTAACGGCTCGAACCGGGTGATACGGACTCTGACCAATCGTCACCGATTCAAGAGACGTCGTCGGCGACATTGAATTCTTCGATCGAGCTCGAATCGCTTCCATCACAGCATCGTAATCCGAAGGTGAATCCTCTTCTACAGGAGGGAGAATCTCAGACTCCGGAGTCGTAGTATCCAGACCCGGGCTTTGACTCGGAGTCGGACTCGGATTCGGATCTTTATCCATTCGGGCACGAACCACGCCTTCTACATAAGCGGAATCAGGAGGACGAGGATGGTCAACTTTATTCCGGTCGCACCAACTGAAAATGGTGGATTTCATGGCGAGATTAGGGATGACGGTGGAGAGATCGGGTCGGGTACCGTCTAGGAGATCCGGTATATACCCTAAGTTACGACAGACTTGAACAGAGAGACGCTCGAAGGTTTGACCGGAAGAGACGACTACAGGATCCGACATGAGGAATCCGGTGATGGGGCAAAGAAACTCCGGTGGAGTCTCGTCGTGTTTGTGCTGTGGTATAGTTGTAGTGGTGGCGGATGAGGATCGTTGGTGGAAAGAGTACCATTTCTGCTTATTTCCACCCATCGGAGGAAAAATTAGGTTTTTGAGAGGAGGAAGAAGATGAAGAAGAAGCGGCTCCGAGCTAAAAAGCTCGAATTATTCAGTCTTTGATACAGTCCAAAAGGTTTTTTGATGATTAAACCGAACCAAATTAAGTCAAATTGAACCGGAAAAAAAAAACTATCAATTTGATTTTTGTTTAATACCTAAATCAAGGGACAACAAAACGGAATTGGTAACGCTGATAGTAACAACTCTTGACTTTTTCATGGTTTACTTTTTCTGAGAATTAATAATGTAAAGGTAATGATGTACATTAATGGACACCTAATAATCACCATAAATAGTTTCCCATTGAATACAGTATCTTTGATTTTAATTAATTTTACCAACCTCGGATAGAGTTTTCAGGGAATTTATAGCGAGAAAATTATGAGCCATTTCAAGTTTTGTTAGTTAAGCGTATGTATTAGTCATGTTTTAAAAAAGAGTAGACTGAGTAATGCATACACCATATGATAATTACCGGTGGCAGACGGGGTAATACTCAGAGAACGATCAAATAATTAAATATACATTATTGATAATGTTGTTCTTTATAAAGTGAAAACAAATAATTATATTGTTTCCAGTGAGATAAAAGTCGGAATAGAGCGACAGTATCGATTAGATAAAAAAAAAAAAGGACAAGAACATGACATCCACTAAGATGTGTGTTTTTTTTCTTTCTAATGCACAAAGATATGTTTTTGTTTTACCAACGCTTTGTATTTGGTTACATGTGTACAACAAATACAATAAGAATAAGTAGGATAGTTTTCTTATATTTTACTACCATTTATGTAAGCTTAATATTTATGAAAATCCTTTTAAGGAAGCATTAGGGTAGATAGCTTTTTAAAAAATTTATTGAGGTAAATGATTTGGCAGCAATATCATAAATAAAGAAGAATATATTTTGAGCAGCTTGAACAAAATTCCATTGACTATGACAAATAGGCTCATGGTTTATATTAGTATTGTCATTGTGTTACCGTCTTATTCAAATCCAAATATTGCATGTTGTCGATAGAATATTCTTACTAAATAATACAAAACAAGATTAGAAATGTGTAATTTATTAAAATTCTTATTTGTTTGATATGGTCAGTAGACAGTAGTGGACTCAGGTTCATTCATTTGCATGGTGTTTTAAACTTCTACACTTGCAAAACCAATTGGCTTTGACTCATATTCGTCCGTTTTAAGATGATCGAGTGTTTAGAGATCGATCACCTTGTATAAATTTTCTTCTAATTAAAAAAGCACAGTACTAAAACT